GTGGAGTCCATTCTGGCCCACAGCGCCCCTAGAGGACAGAGTGGAACTGCCCACAGGGTCTCCAAGGCTGTCAATCTTCAGGAAGCAAAGCCCAAACCACACCCACTGCTGTGGAGTCCATTCCTACCCACAGCGCCCCTAGAGGACAGAGTGGAACTGCCCCCCAGGGTCTCCAAGGCTGTCAGTCTTCACAGAAGCAAAGCCTAAACCACACCCACTGCCTTGGAGTCTATTCCTACTCACAGCGCCCCTAGAGGACAGAGTAGAACTGCACCGCAGGGTCTCCCAGGCTGTCAATCTTTACTGAAGCTGACTGCCTCATGTCTGTCCCCTAGAGCTGCTAGTGGGTTCCAACCACTGACCTCTTGGTTAGCAGCTGAATGCTTTAACCACTACGCCATGAGGCCTTCGCCTTTAGCCATGCACAATACCACGATGACCAAATAAATAAATAAAGCTTCAGTGGTCAAGGAGAACAGTCCGTCTTCACAACAGTACCATGACACTGGTCTCAAACAAACAACAAACCAAACACTAAAAGAGGCAAACGCAGTGGCATTTTTTAGCGTGCATTCCAAAGACCCCAGGGCGCTCTGCAAAGCATGACGTCCGGGGTGAGGTTCAGAACCGCTCCCCTTTTAAAAAAAAAAGGTGCTTGTCTGAGTTGAGCTGTGCTCCCTGGGGCTTTGCTAGCAGAGTTTTATAAATCAGGTCATTAAGCTTTTCCCACCTCTGGGTGACTTGAACCTTGAACTTGTCGGTGAGCAGTCAAGCAGGTTACCCATCGCAGAACCCAGGCACTCCATACTCCTCTTGCTTCTTTTTTTTCTTTTTTCTTTTTCCTCCTGCCCTGGACGGAGCAGAGTGTGATGTCCATCAGATGATGGGACACTGAAGCCCCCGGTCCCACATTACTGTTTCCGGTCACCTCACTGACAGTCTGCCACAGGTTGTCGACACGGGAGGCATCATCCACACCTGTCTTCAAGCTGAGAGGGCTGCCCTTTGTTCCTTCAACAATGACGTCAGCGTTCTCTCCTTACGTTTGCAGCTAATTCTTCTCCAAAACATTTCAGTTTTCTCCTATGTATTCAAATTGCGGACCTACTACATCATTTTCTTTCCTTCTGTTTAATCTGTATCTTTTGATCCAGGTAAGCACTTTTATACATACAGTCACAGTCCCATTTTTCCAAGCCTTAGAAATACCCTAAGATAAATACATTGTATTTATGTAATACATTGTATTTATGTAAAGACCCTAACATTGTATTATGTTACCCTGTTCAATTCCATACTTATTTTTTCCTACTCCGTGTCTTAATTTATATGTAGGTATTTTTAATCACAAGTACTCTTTCACACTATTTTTTCTTTGCTCTTTATGGCTGACAATGTTATTTCCTGTGTCATATTTCTTCTGTCACCCTTGGTGACTTTCCTAGTCACAGGCTTTGAAATTTTATCTGATGCTTTTCCTTTCTTGTTTAGATTTATTTTATTTGATTGTGCTTTGGGTGCAAACTTACAAAGCACATTTGTTTTACATTCGATAGTTCGTGCACATTTGATTTCACAGCCCCGATTACCGTCCCAGCCATAACAAAGTCTCCTCCCCTCTTCTCCCGGTGAGCACCCCGTCCCTGGGCCCTTCTTAACTACGCATTCCTGTCTGTCCACCTGTCCCTCTATGTGAATGCTGCCCCTCTGTGTCTCATGGGTGATTGATCCAAGGGGGTGTATCGCCC